GCCGGTCGTGGACTGTTCTTCTTCGGGCGGAACTTGGGTAACTCCTTTGCGCAGAAATATTCTCTTCAGCAGCCCACGAGCGTGCTAATGAAGTACACGCGCCGACACCCAGCCACGATATCGGTCCGACATGACCCCGACCGCGTGACCGCAGGTGTCACCTTGTACCGCTGCTAACGGATGGCCGTCTGCCGGGTGGCTGATGGCGTGCGATAGCCCAGTCCGCCCTCCGTCGCCACCGTCACGGGAACCTCTCCTACCGTCGCCGACCCATGAACGGTGATGCCACTGCTCCGTTCGTGAGTGCGTGCGGCCCGGTCGTCCTCCGCCGCGGGGAACACATGACTGCCGGTGGTCCCTCCTCTCGCCACCGGTGCTGCTGCCGGTGCTGCCGCTCCCACCACGAGTTCCTGCGGCCCGGCAGTTTTCCCCGCCGCCGCTCGGGGAACACCGTGCCGCCGGGGGTCCCTCCTCTCGCCACCGGTACTGCTGCCGATGCTGCCGCTCCCGCCACGAGTGCCTGCTGACCGGCCGCATGGTTCCGCTCAATCCACGAGTGCCTGCCCCCCGACCGTCCCGACGGCCGGCGTCGGGGAGAACACACGACTGACGGTGGTCCCTCCTCTCGCCGCCGGTGCTGCTGCCGATGCTGCCGCTCCCGCCACGAGTGCCTGCTGCCCAGCCGTTTCCCCCGCCGCGGCCGGGGCAAAACCCTGCCGCCGGGGGTCAATACTCTCGCCGCCTGTGCTGCCGCCGATGGTACCGCTCTGGGCGCGAGGGCCTGCGCCCCGGCCGTCCCCACGGCCGGCGTCGCCAGGAACACATGACTGCCGGTGGTCCCTCTTCTCGCCGCCGGTGCTGCTACCGATGGCACCGCTCTAGCGCGAGTGCCTGCGCCCCGGCCGTCCCGACGACCGGCGTCGGGGGGAACACATGACTGCCGGTGATCCCTCTTCTCGCCGCCGGTGCTGCTGCCGATGCTGCCGCTCCCGCCACGAGTGCCTGCGACCCGGCCGTCTCCCCCGCCGCCGCCGCATTGAAAACCCTGCCGCCGGGGGGTCAACACTCTCGCCGCCGGTGCTGCTACCAATGGTACAACTTTAGCCGCGAGTGCTTGCACCCCGACCGTCCCGACGGCCGGCGTCGCCGGGAATACATGACTGACGGTGGTCCCTCTTCTCGCCACCGGTGCTGCTGCCGATGCTGCCGCTCCCATCACGCGTGCCTGCGGCCCGGCAGTTTCCCCCGCCGCCGCTCGGGGAAACCCTGCCACCGGGGGTCAACACTACAAGGCTGCAGCGAGGAACCTTCGCGATTACCACGGTGTCCCCTCCATGACAGCGGGCGGCCTGGAGAAGACCATGGTCCTGCTCCAGCTCCGCCCCGGCCGCCTGGTGGCGCAGGGACTTGCTCCAAAGCAGCTCCTCGACGGAAAATCAGCAGCTGGCGACGCTGACGCGGACAACACGGACAGCAGCAGCAGCAGCAGCAGCAGCGGATCTGAAGTCGAGCCAGAGCAAGCAGACAACAACCCGGTCTCGGACGACTCGAACAGCAACAGCAGCAGCGGCAGCGGCATCGAGCACGACAACATCGCCACCCAGGACAGCATCGACATGGAGGCCGGAGCCAGCAAGCACCCCATCCACGCGGTGTTTGTTGCCGCAGGCGTCCAGCTCCGGCCCCGCGAAACCAGGCCGTTGCTCCGTGCGCTCGGCGTAGGACCTCACCGCCTAGTCAAGCTCGGGCTCGTTCAGCGCGAAGAGGCTCGGCGGTCCAGGCCTGGAGGTAGGCAGAGTGGTCCTCCTCATCAGCACCACGGTCGCCCTGGAGGTCGTGGCCACCACCACCACCGCGGCGGTGGAGGCATGATGGGTAGGCCTCGCGGCCCCTCTCCGCATGGTCCCCCGCCGCACCGCCACGGCCGCGGCCACCGCCACGGCAGGCGTCCTGCCTACGGCGATCGCCGCCGTCAAGGCCTACCCACGGACCCGGCCACCACCACCACACCGGCGGCGAGGGCGAAGGGGAACAAGAAATGACGATGATGCATGCCGGGCCGCGTGGCCCTCCCCACGGAATGCATGCCCCCCCGCACCTCCGCGGACAAGCCAAGGGCGGCCCTGGTCTCCACGGCATGCCCATGCACGACCGCCAAAGGCACTCCTTCCACGGAGGTCGCCGCTTCCATGGCAAGCGTGTACACAGCAGCGGGGGTGAGGGAGAGCGTGGTCCTCAAATGCACATGGGCCCAGGTCACCACGCCCACCCTCGTCGCCAGCGGGAACACCACGGCATGCACCAGCTGGAGAGGGACGGGGACACTGCCGGTACGGACATGGACTATGGCCCCGTTCCTCACGGGGCAGGACGGCACCACCACCGCAGCCCCGTCGGTCTACACCACCGACCGCACGGCCCGCCCCCCGGCCCGCCCGGCATGCGTGGCGGAATGCGGTGCGAGGACTTTGGTGATGACGACTTTCACCCCCGGCCGCATCAGCACCGGCACCAGCAGCACCAGCAGCACCGGCAGCACCGGCAGCAGCACGGAAGGATGGCGGCGGGCCGTGCTCGCGGTCACCCCTGTCACGAGCGCCCCTCTCCCTTGCAGATGATGCCGATGCAGGCCTACTGAAGAGGAGAACAAGGCACCGTGATGTACGGCTGGTTGAACGGTATGTGTTGCTGCTGGCCAGAGAGCTACGACGAGGCAGCAGCATCTGACCTGGAGTAGAAAGCAGTTCTTCGGCGGGAGGACAGGCAGTTGCGTTCGGTCTGCTTTTGGCGTGCTTTGAATTTGGTTGTTGTTTACAATTGGGCAGAAGCCTCCCTCGGGAAAACTGATACGAGGGACAAAGGACGTGCACCTTACGGTATACACCTGTGCGTGGTACGGTACGTTCTAGAAGGCCTCTGCGCTCATGCAGCCGTAGTGTATACGTTGTGTGTGTTTGAAGAGTCTTGCATTGTGTGTGTACGCCACCAGTTGTTAGTGGAGATTCTGCCCCCTGACGTACGGCTGTACTCCGTGTTGTTTGCAGCGATGGCAACTAATTGTGCTGTCGTCGCAGGTGGTAGACGTAAATGTTCCCTGTTGGCAATCATGTGCTGAAATCCTTTTGGTTTGAGCGTCTCCTAATCAGTAATGCACCGAGGAGGAGCGGGGTACCCGCCCCGGGGTGAAACTGCGGTGTTTTGTGTGTTGCAGTCCCATACCTATGGAGAGGGGTTGTAGCGGGGTGAGTCGCGTGGCCAAGAATGACGGAACGGACGTTTTCTTCTGTTTTTTGTGTAAGCGGTGTTATTGGTGTCTGGCGATGTATTGAGTGACGATAGACACCCTGCAACCGTTGTTGATTATTAGTCGTCTCCTGTTGACGTTTCGTCTTTGTGTTCGGAGGGCGCGTGTGTATTGTATGTCGTCGAAGCTTCTTGTCAATGGAAGCACAGAAACGTTGGTAACACTTGTGTTGGCGGCAAGGCGTACGTGCGTGTCGTTTGTCTTTAGTCCTGCCTGCGTTGTGAAGCTGCAGCTGACAGCCCCGAGTCTGTCTTTATGGTATCGAAAGGAGGATAATTGTCTGGCACGTATTGAGCGGACAAGTGTTGCAGGCTGCAAGTAGGCATGCAGTGC